ACTAAAGCAACCACAAAATGGTTAAGAGGTCAGTACCAGAGACCAAGCCCATGCTGAAACATTTAAGTAATTTTCAAATTACCCTTAATTTCATGTGATAAACCTCTGCATATTTAGGGAAAATATATTTTTTTGTCTCAAAAAATATTTTGCCACAAATTTTTTATAAAGATAATCTGGACATTTCCTACTTGACAAATGAATCACTAGTGTTGACTAAATACCACCATGCAATTGCCATTATGTTTGTTTTTAAAATAAGCAGTAATCCCAATCTGATATTCTGAAATTTAAATAAATTGAATTGATAATTAAATAATGAAAATACATTTTACTATGATGAATAAGATTTTTAAAAAACATATCACAATTGTAATTGTAAATAATTAAGTAGTCAGTTAGTTAATTTATTTAAGTTGTTTGAATAGGATAAACAAAACTAATTTCTGATAAAGACTTGAGTCATCAGAATATTTTCCAATCATCTATCACTAAACAGTAAACTCATTGGATGAAAATTTTATTTGGTGAACATAATAAAAAAACAACAACTTATGTTTACAAACATTGCAACTGAATAAAACCACAATATATATATTAACACATGCCACATGAGCCAGCCCAGCATCTTGATATAGATAAAAAAAAAGGAGTGATTCTGGAAAGTTTTGGGTTGTTTTGATTAGACTAAATGATGATATTTGACACAATTATTGAGGTCTAGGTCACTGGACCTGAGCCAAAACCATGAGAGCCAACATGGAGAAGTTAACTTGTAAATGTAAAGTAAAAGGATGTAACAATGAAACATGCTTGAAATGTTCTAGATGAGGTTGTGAAATGTGATGGTTTAAGTGTAGCGATTAAGCTAAACCGTGGGCCCAGGTTGGATGAGGGAAGAACTTATTCGAAGATATCCCAATCGATTTGATATACCAGCTGAATCGAAGATTTGTCAATTGATTGCTGTATTGACAGCAAAACATAAAAAATGGGCACAATAATATCATTATCTTCAAAGAGATGAATTAGAATAATATTCAAGATATCATTAGTTTCAATATTTTGTGCAACTAACAGCACAGTAAAGATGCAGTGTTTAAGTTGAAACAGATCCATGATGAATTACATGATGACTTCCCTAGAAATTCTCAAATTAAAAATGTCATTTCTGCAATGAAGAGTAAATATAAAAAGAACAGTATAATGCCCAGCATGGTACCACCATAATATAAGCGATATAGATTTCATCATTATTTTGTGTTTTTTTTCACATTTTGGAAATTGTGCCACACTTCATTCATTAAGATCTATCGAAATAACCCTAAATCACTGGTTTACATAATGACTCTCCTATTGACCATTCTAGGCTCAGTATTAAAAGATTCTGGCCTGGCTTAAGAGGCAGATGTTAAAAAGTAAAAACACTGTGTTCAAACAAAGAACCAAACATTAACAAAGTACCTAAGTTAAGCCATAAGCAATTTCCAGTCATGTGACATCATTTCATAGTGTATATATATTCTTGTATCTAGGTTAGCTACTTGTACATGATGATGACAAAATCTTCTCCGAATATTGTACACACAAGCATAAAATACCCATGCTCCTCTGCAAGATTCTTTCATGATTCAAAATTTTGAAGTTTTGTACTGTCAGTTTTGGTTTGTTTTAATGAATGCTCTTAAAGAAGCTGTAAAGTGAAACATTGAGCGTCTAATTAAATAGTAAAATTTTGGTGTTATAAGGTCATTTATTTCTAGTATTAATATCTCCATTATCTTAATTACTTCTATAACTACCCCAGTGCACCAATTCTTTAATTTATTTATCTGTTGCCATTTCCCAAACTTAATTCAACTCTTTTTAAAAGAAAATAGTTTTAATTTAGTTTTTCATATTCATTTTTTTCTTCCTATGTTTCTATTTGAATTCTTTTCATTCTCCAAATTCTCCGATTCATATTTTTCTTCCCGTTGTTTGTTGCTGTTTCCCAAACTTATTTCAATTCAACTTTTTTTTTTAATTCTCAGATTTTTGCTTTCTTCCCATGTTTGTGTTGAAAAAAAGAGTATTTGGCAGGAAACCTCCACATATTGTTCATTCAAGAAGTAAGAATTAGAAACAATATTATACTTTTCTATAGACCTTCTGGAAGCAGAATTAAGGGGCTTAAGAGTTATAGGGCAAAAAAATTGGCCAAAATATTTTTTGAGTCAAACAAAAATAATACCCAGGTGCACACTCTCAGAATCTCTTTAGTAAGCGTGCAATGTTTCACGTCTCTAGTTTCTTTCCTCTTGAAGCTATGGTGGTCACACACAGGCTCTTTTATTATTATAAAGAAAAATAATACCCTCAGAATCCCTTTAGTATGTGTGCAAAGTTTCAGGTCTCTAGGTTATTTCCTCTTGGAGCTATGGTGGTCACACACAGTCTTTTATTATTATAGATTTCTTACAGTGTGTAACATTTTATAAAATTTTCTTTGTTACCTATTTCAGCCATCTTTAAACTGTATAAGCTTACCTTATCTCAAATAATCTATGTTGAAACAGATACAATTTAATACACAAAAACTTCCACAAACAAAAGGAACTGAAAGGAATATTTCTAGAAACTACTTACTCTGCTCTCTCTCTCTATATATATATATACACATATACACACAACAGCAGTCTCTCCAACATTCCACACACTACTAGACATTATGATGCAACAATACTCAATTACAGCAATGAGTAAAATTCAGAAGGATCGAGTAACGACATCAAGTCACAACAACTGAACTACACAACATATGATTTGTACACAGTTATGTAACAAACACACGAAAACCCATTGCTTATAATGCTATACTTACGCCATTTAAGCCATAAAACTCACATTAACACCTACTGTTCACATGATGAACTCCTTTTCAAAGAGATAGTTCTGGAATTTCCAGATGGCAAATATGATGGCTAGACACTCTCATTTGATCACAGAATAGTTCTTCTCTCTACTCAACAGCTTTTTACTGAGGTACATCACTGGAAACAGTCTGTCTTCATGTTATTGCAGAAGTACTGCTCCAATTCCACCATCTGATGCATTGGCTGGAACGATGAAAGGTTTGTTGAAGTCTCGCATTCTAAGGATTGGTGAACTTCATAGAATGTTCTTCAATTTCTGGAATGCCATCTGCTGAGTTTGTTCCCACTTCACCTTATTTGGTTGGCCTTTCTTGGTCCGGTCAGTCAGTGGTACAGTGTAGTTAGGAATGAACTTTGTATAGTATCCAGCAAACTGAAGGAAGGATCTGACTTTCTGCTTTGTCATCAGAGCTGGTGCATCCTGTACACAGGTTAGCTTCTCCTCTTCCATGGCTATCTATCAGTCACCCACTTTGTGTCCAACAAAGTCCACAACAGAATAACTCACGTAGCACTTAAATGGTCAAATCTGTTGCTCTCACTCATCTGAAAAGCTCTCTAAGTTTCTTCAAGTGGTCATCCCATCTGGCTGTGTGGGTCAGAATGTTGTTTCACATAATTCTCAATGTTGTTGGTTTTATGCAACATATAGTATGGTTGTGAACTCTATAATAGTTTTGCCACCACTACAGCTATTTGTATATAGGCCACTGTTGTTTATGTTGTCTTCTATAACCGCTTACAACTATAGATCCTGGCTGGTTCACAACTATCAGTTTTTGTAAAGTCAGATTCTTCACAGTAGGTGTCTGTGACTTATTGGTGAAAAATTTGAACTATAAATAAACAGCAACACAGTAATACAGAGGAAACCAGCTGTTCTTGGAGAGTGTGTTGTGCTTCTATTGGTGGAGAGTTGTTGCATGCTCTATGCATGCTAAATGAATAGCTTGATTTGATGGGGCATAAAGGCTAGTACATCAAGCAAGAAAATTTCTTTTCAATGCTTTATAGGGCAGTGGAAGATCGAGAAGAGCTATTTGTGTGACAGGAGGTTTGTATCATATCAGAAATATAAATGTTCATTTACACTGTTGGTTACCACAGTTGTATTCAGAGCTTTAAATAATTGTCTCTTTTTTCAACAAAGTCCACGCAGGCTGGTTCAGTTACTTTATAAAACAACTGACAAAGCAAATTATTCTTCTCTACTCTGTTGTTACAACACAGTCTGTAATAATTTCACTTTAAAAATTGCCAGTACACAATCTTTATCACTAAACTCATGATCACGCAGTCTAGAACTAGAACTAAATAATGATTTTAACTCATATTCACACACCTTGACAGAAGTCTATAATATTCCACCCAATACTAGATATTCTGATGCCATAATACTCAATTAAACCAAAGAGAAACTCTGAAAGCTCTAGCAACATGATGCAATAATTTCACTATTGTAAAACATCTGCTAATTCATAACAATTGAACTACACAACATATCATTCATAAACAAACTTACCATAAAATATCACTTCTAAAAATAACTATATATGACACCTGTGCTATATAAACTATCTAAATCATAATGCTGGCATTAAACTTAAACTGAAACAGTTGTGTGTATCTAACATTTTCTAAGTGCAAAGCCACACAATGGGCTATATGCACTCTGTCCAATGTGCAGAGTCAAACCTCAGATTTTAGCATTGTACATTCATAAACTTACTGCTATCCTACCAGGAGATTACACAGAAAACAAATATTTTTCTTTATAAGGGTCTTGTTCATCAGAAGTTGATCAGGGCTAAGTAAAAATAGTCATTATACAGAGATTGCAACTATATAAATGTGGTTGCACGGCTGCTAATATAGATTTGACAATATCAGTATTTCATCTGTTCAAAGTCTACGAAAATTACAAACATATTTGTAAGTGTAAGTTAAAGAAATATAATATTTTTGCATCTTGTGTTTCGTCTTACACACAACCTAATAATAATAATAAAATGAAGACTGACTGCACTTAAATTATATATAGAATACACAAAAAAAGCTTTTTTATCTATCTTTAATTCAACTTACCTTGAGCTGCATATCGATTTGATCCATCTTCAACCAGAACATGATAAAATGGTTGGCGTTCTTTATTTACTAGAGTGTGCACTCCCATTTGGTGTATCCACGTTCCATTAGCTTTGCATATAGGATCCCAGCCATATATTACACAGGTATAGTGGTATCTAAATTTCAGTCATAATGATGTATACAATAGATGTAACATATAGAAATACAAAAATTATTAACACTGACATTCCAATTTTGAGTAAACACTAGTTCTTTTATAGTTCCTATGTTAATCATTCTCTTTCTATGGAACTAAAGTACATTAGCATCAATGTCAGTAAAATACAGACACACACACTAAAAGACAAACTTTAGCCATAGTTACATTTTATTTCTGTCACTTGTCTCCAAATGTAACTAATACACATTCAAGCACACACTTCAACACAAACTTTAGCTATAGTTATATTTTATTTCTGTCACTTGTCTCCAAATGTAACTAATACACATTCAAGCACACACTTCAACACAAACTTTAGCTACAGTTACACTATTCTTTAAATTTGCAGTAACAAATGTAAGGAATATACAGGCAAAGTGTAAACAACTTTTTCACAGGATTATTAATGTTTTAAAATAGAGAACCCCCACAAAAACTTGAAGTCTTGATGATTTCCTCTAATTCCTCCTGATGATGAAATTTCTAACTTTGAAACCACTCCTAATGCAATTTATTGTATTTTTTTCTTTAACTGAATTTTTGAGCCAAATGTTTTCCTAACATCATGAATTATCTTCATAATATTGATAGAATTAATACACATGGTCATGCAATTTGTATGAAAGATAATTAACTTTTCACTGTAACATAACATGCTAGAGAATTAACTATTATTATTATTATTTTTGTCAGTTAGTTAGTATTAAGAACCATTTGAGATCAACTGAATTTCTTTCAGTCTGACATGACACTACAGATTAACCATGTTGTTAAATTCATAACATAGATAATTAAATAGCTACTTAGAAGTTCTCAAAATGTTTAGCCATGGCATAGCAGCTCATAGAATGGCTCAGAGTTATTTTTAAAGTACAAAGTTTTAGCTCATAACTCCATCATCTCCTGACCAATTTGAGATCTAATTACAATTTTGGACTGATGTATTTGAACATGCCCAAGGTCTCATAGATTAATTTACTCTAATCCTGCCTAAAATAATTTAAATTTGAAGGTAGGCTGTTAGAGATCCTGATGAGTAATAAAATCGAATCAGGTATACACACATACCACACTTGGTATTGCTGGCACATGAAAATATAGCTAATAAAAAGGAAACGAAAAAAGGTCTCATAGATTACTTTACTCTAACCTTACCTAAAAGAATTTCAAGTGTTACGACTATTGAGGATTCCTTCTTGTTTTATTTCAATTTTTTCACCTTAGCACTTAACTGAAGAATTTTTCAACTTCATTAGTTATTAGATAATCAAAATAAACCACTACAAATCATAAAACAAGTAGAACCCACATATTTATCAGTAACAAATGACCTAACTTTTTAAAAATGGCATCACCATTACCTCTATCAGGTGCCATATAATGATATTTTGACAACAGTATTTTTTTGTCAAGATGAATTTATATTTAATAATTATGATTTGCTTTCTATAAGTAAGAGGTTATTTTTTTGTGTGTATTTTGTTTGAGTATAATAAACTTAACACTGTATTCAAATTCAAAGTGATTTATGTCATCTTACTAGCCTGTTTTACTCGCTAATACACAGTTGATGATGTCTTGTCATAGGGGAATATTTTAGTGGCTTTTTAGTAAGTACAGTACCATACAAGAACATCAGGTACAAAAAGAAAATCACAAAATATACAATGAAAACCTGCCTTATAGATATTATGGAAGTTTTTAAATTGTGTCTTCAAGTTACTTCATTACTGTTGATTTCAGCTGACTGTACAAACTCCCAGTTATCAAATGCTCAGCTAATTTTCACATGGCACTCTTGTATTCTCAACTAATTTGCATTAAAGGTCAAAATGTATTTTTGAACAAATAAAAGGCATAGAACCATAAAACAAAAAAAATATAAAGGTAACAGAAAATAATAAATTTTGATTAGAAGCAATAAACATAAGCTTAGGAAAGAGCGAAAAAAAACTTATCGAAATGTGATGTTTACAGTTTGCATGCAAGATATACAACAGTTGTAAAAGTTTAAACTTCTTTTTTTATATGTCTTATTCCTGAAATAAGCATTTAATATTGTTAATATATCAAATTTGTGAAAAGTCTAATTAATGAAATTTTTGAAATAGCTACAATCACATTTTTGTATTAAATTTTTAACGTTGAGTTGCAAACAGTAGAAAACAGTTACTTAAAGCAGAATTATAGGATCGGCAGATATTATACAAATAATTTTATAGTATTATAGAAAAGATAACAGGAATTGAAAGCAGTTTGACAATTTTTTTTCAAACTGCAATCATAATACATCGATTTTACATTTTGAGCTAAATCCCCTCTGAAAATATATGAAAAAGAACTAATACTTGTGCATCCGTAGGAGACAAGCATATCCACTTTTACATGTCCTGACACAAATTTGTACATATTTTGTGAATGGGCAGACAGATATGCATACATGCACACTCACTCCAATACCTCAACTTTAACCACAGTTACATTTTATTTCTGCCACTTGTCTACAAATGTAAGTCTTCGTATTATATATTTAAACAGGAATGCCGGATTATAAGTCATTAAATATATTATTTAGATCAGTGTGAGTAAAGTATTTATTAGTTAACTGATGAAAGTTGATTACTAAGCAAGTTCTTTTCCTGAATTATTAAATAAAAACAGATAATTTAGAATATCCTACACCAATGTTCCACAGTGGCATTAAAAACAGACTTCTTAGAAATTTGCAAATACAGTAGTCAGGCAGCACACTAGGGAACCTAAAAGTATTGTCCATTTCATATTCCTTGATACTAATGATACAACCAGACATACTGATTAAGGATCTGTAAAACCTAACCACGGACACCAGAATCATGTAGGAGGTGAGTTATGGTCATTTATACATGGACAGCAGTCATCTTGGATTTTAAATATTTAAACGCTTCTATAAATTAGGTGAATCTAGTCTTAGATACCAGATATCACTATCCTAACTGATACAGAAACCAAAACATTTCAATTTTGCCAAGGACTTTGAGATGGTATCATGCAGATCCTTAATCAGTAGGTCTGATAGATATAAAAAACACTAAAATAACATTAGGTGAGCAATAGTTTCGAATTCCCAGTAAAATAAGTTGCAACCATACTAAAAGCATAGATACTAATTCTTTTTAAAAAATTAAGAAAAAACATCATTCACACTGCTAAAAACAAGGTAAACTATGACAATTTAGATTTGGCCAAATGTATTCATTTGAAAAAAACCGTCATTGAAATGGGTTAAGTATAATGATAAACAAGCTTTTTTATTCACTTAGGAAAAATCAATGAAATAATTACAATGCATGATAACTGCCAGTGATTACACAGTGTAAAACCAAATGCTGTAAAAAATACAATGACCTGAGCCTCCATTACCCTGACTTCTCTAGAGCTCAATGTTTAATGCCTATGGTACACTAAACATATGAGATGCATGTGTATGTTGAAATTGTGCAACTAATGTGTATATGTACATGCTAGGTTTGAAATATGACTATAAACTGATGTACCTTGTTACTGGCCAAAAGGCCTCAACAGCACTGGATACAGCATGTATAGTGTGGTTGAAATATTATTAAACACTCTTCTTCACTTGCACTTATACACAAAATTTCAAATATCCACTTCCACTCAAAATTTTGTTTAAATTGTTAAGTTATCAGTACAATAATTTAACTTGATGCATTGTAAAGTAGTGTATAACTTACATATTTAAATGTCAAATAAGATAGGCTTAAAAATACTCTTTTCCCTTTAAATGTTCAGGAATGTTATTATAGATATTGATGTCTAAGATGGGTTGAGGAAAATCATAGTAAGTAAATACTTATTCATATCGCATGATTTGGTGTGCTACTAAGTTAAAAACTCTAAAAAAAATCTTCATTTTGATCCTTCCTTAGAACAGAATATAACATAAATATACAAAGAAGTTACTACTGAATCTTTCAATTAACAATGGTAACACTGGATAAGTATTATTCAGTTTAATATGTTTTAATTACTGTGATATCTGACAAAATATCAAAGAATATTTTGTAGTGATTAACCAATAATCATATCATTGCCAGATGAATTTTTACTATGAAAATCATAATGAAACAATAAGAACAGGCTGTAAAACACTTACTTGCAGTGTTTCATAATCATTCCCACCGCATATTTTACCTCAGGGTAGTTACTGTGAAGAAGGGATATAACCTATATTTGCATAAAAAAAAGTTCTACTGCACACAGTTCTTAATATATAGGCTTGTAACAAAGAAGCAACATAATAATTAACTTGAGCAGATATTAATACGAAAATTCTAATCTGTTATATAAAAGGTTTAATTTAACCAAACACTTAATTGCATAACCTTACTCATTTACCATACTTTCCTTTCTGTACTTCACACAACGCCCAGGCAGTTACACTAAAAAACCCATTTGTAATCTAATTTTTAAATTGATCTTTTTGGGTTACAAGGCATGAAGGCAAAAACTTGGAACAATACAGACGTGGTCAAGCAAAGTCAGGGTAGAACCCCAAGTAACACTATCACTTGGATATGATATTTCTGCCTTTGGGTGGGCTATTATAAACTTGTGACTTTAGTATTAGTAATTCACAAAGAAAACCTGCAACTTCTTTTTGATATTTTAATTCTAAAAATATTTAATACAGTGTTTAAAAGCTGATAGTTAAATATAAAACATTCTGATGTTTAGCATATCTGAAAGTGTACACAGTTAAATTTATAGAATTCACAATAAATCATTACAGCATTAGCGTGTAGAAAAAACTGTCCTTCAAGCTTACTACTACTAGAACTTACAAACTCACACCAGGCAATTACTAAAAAAGTTTTCCCTGTTAAATTTTAATATATTTTACAATACATCTTTGAAAAAAAGTCAACATATATATATATATATATCACAAAAACGAAAGAATTAGTTAGTTAGTGTATCTTCATACAATCAGTTATCTAATCCAGCCTTCAATTACAATTTTACGAAATAAATATAGATAGATGAAAGAAAAATAACAGTTAACACAATAAAGACAATAGGATTAAAATTTAAACTTCCAAATTCTACCTCAATTTGTGAAAATCAATACTTATTTAACATTTTTAAGATTAAAATGAATTTCTGAAATACTTCTAGCCTTTCCTTGTTGAGTCGCTCTTGTGCTGTCAACAAATAGGTGACTCAAAGTTCTTAATGTTTTTGTAGCAGTGCACAGCAAGTGTCAATATGCTCAGAATTCTACACTCTCCCAACTTCCACAGCTCATTGGGCAAGCATGATAAGAACTTAAATAAGCTCTGCTTTCTCACCAAAATTCAGGATTCATAGTTTCAGTCATGAAGAAAAACCATGAAGCACCTGGGTGTGGGGAAGCCAGAATGTATTTTAGATGTAAGCACCTGTAAAATATTAATTTAATCCTAAAAATGAAAAATTCAAATTAGGTAGACTTATCTCTGAAATACTGACAGCCAGAATACCTACATTGAAAAGAAGATGGGAACAAGGGAGAGAGTTAAGATTATACAAAAATATACACATCACAAGGCAGGAAGGTAAAAACCTAAAATACTATACATATGTGTGGTCAGGCAGAGTTAAGAGTAGAATCCAGAACCAAAAGTATTCAAAGAAATGGATTCATATGAGAATGAGTGGAGCAGACCAGTCTCATGTAAATACAGAACCCAAAGACATTCAGAATAAAGGCATTCTTCTCACTAAAGCTGGATTACTTGACGGAAAATATATGTTTGAAGGGAAAGTAGTGGATTGATAAAACTACCATTTGATGGAAAAAACAAATGACTGGATGATGAATGAATAGGGATAAGCTTTATGTATAACCACCAAAGTCATCCAGTGGCTGTGACTACAAAATGTTTGTGAAAATCTCATGCATTCCAATCTCTAAGAAAAGATGAACTCAGACAGGTCTTCAAACTTCAGATTTCCTCTGAACTACAAGGAGAAAGGAGCAAAAACCTGGAGAAGATAAATTATCTACTTCTTTTCTAAAGGAGACTTAAGACTTTCTGATCCAGAATTATGGAGTGACTGGATTGGAAGGAAGATAAAAAGACCAGACTGAAGTACCTATCAAATCCAAGGGTCCCAAACATCAACCAATAATGCCAGATGAGCCCCCAAATAAACATTAAACCCAGCAAGAACACCAGAAGACAATTCAGAATTAATGGCCTGAGTATGATGATGAATATGGGCTAAGAATGCTGTCACAAAATGTCCCTGTATGGTATAGGCAGACTACATGCATAAGTCTTTCAGAGAAGGTATAAAATGTCTGATACTGATAGAAACATACACAGCAATAGTTAATTTTGGCATCAGAATTCATACTGAACAAAGTTAATAGCATGATTGTCAACAAAAAAAATCTGAATTATGGTGAGAGAGTGAGGTATTTTCAGGTAAAACCCAATTTCCTGAAAAGTATCACACAACTAAACCCACAATAACATCAGATTCTATAAGGTGTTGTTAAAAATAAAAACAATAGGCAAAAAAGGAATCACAATGTACGTACTTATGCACATGAAAAGACAGTCACTTCTACTAACTTATGCTTAGTCCCACACCTTTCTCTCTTTGAAGATAGATTTATTTCAAATTAAACATGGTGATCTCAAAGTAAGTCTTCACTTGGCAATCTCCTAGTAGAATTAGATCATGAAAGCACACTGAAAGTTAACAGATATACTCACTTTCTTTGCCCAGTCAGCAGCATCATCATCTCATGATCTTTGTTCTCTCACAGCATTAATTGGCTGTTGCATTCAGTCAACATCATAACCATCCAGCAAAAGATATTACAATACCAATTCTTTTAACTCAGACACTATACATATTACTGCAATATCCCTGCAGGCAGAAGAGACATCACCTACTATAAAGAACAAAGAAACAAAACAACCAGAACCAGGAAATCTTAATGACTTTCGACCTTGTGTTGCCACATTACAGAATGAAAACTAAATCACCAAACAAATTTAGAAATTTCTATAATAATAAAGAAAGTTAAAAACATGATTTGCCCACTTATCATAAAAGCAGAACTTGTGTAGTCTCCTTACAAATGCACAGTAAGTCAGGTGAAAAGTGGGAGAGTGGAGAATTATGGGTAAGTTGACAGATACTATGCACTGGATCAAGGGCAGTCAGATTATTTTACAGACTATATGTAATTTAAAAAAAATCACTTAAAATATTAAACTGAAACAAAAGTTTTTGCCCATTTTTCCATCACATGGAAATGTATACATGGTTTGTTTTGTTTTGAATGTTGCACAAAGCTACACAAGGGCTATCTGCACTAGCTGTCCCTAACTTAGCAGTGAAAGATAGAGAGAAGGCAGCTAGTCATTACCACCCACCTACAGCTATAAGGCTACTCTTTTACCAACAAATAGTAGGACTGACCTTCACATTACAATGCCCCCACAGCTGAAAGGACGAGCATGTTTTGTAGGACAGGGATTTGAACCCACTACCCGCAGATTGTGAGTCAAGCACCCTAACCATGTATAAGTGAGAAGCAAACTTTATAATTAAAGTCTGTTCTATTTAACTTTGTCATTACCTATAAGGAATTTTAATCCTACACAACTCCAAAAAAATCTCAGAAGGCTTTACTATCCAATCTTAAGATTATTATTTTCCTCTTTTAAAATAAATTACAGTTACAAATAAACCTAAAAATAAAGCAGAGTAGATTTAACCATTTGCTCATCCATTACTTATTTACATCTGCTGTATTTGAATTTCAGTATTTGTGTGTAATCCAATTATTTGTTATTATTACATGAAAGTTTCCTGATTCTGTTATCCTCAGTTCTACACCTGCTACAATAAGGTAGCCACTTGCTTTGATTAGAAATTAATAATATTAAACTTACCACCTCAGATTTTTTAATTCTTTGTGCAGCTAACTGGCGTTTAGCATCCTTGCCAAGAAAATCCAAAAGCCTTTTGGATATAGAATTTCTTGCTGAAACTTCTTTTACTATGGACAGCACCTCATGTGGTAAGAACAAGAATATTGCATAAAGATGAAAATATTTTTAATGTAAATACACCCCCCTCAAATAACACGACCTGCGATGGTTTTATTGCCTTGAAATTTGTACATGTTCTACAGTAATTCCTATACACTGAAATCAAAAATATATATTTTTCTCCATCATGTACAGATTTTTCACAAACGCCATAATGCAATACATAAAAGTTTTGAGACTAAAAGATGTAAATTTCACAAAAAAGTCAGGATGAATGAGGATGCATATTCGTTTGACATCAATTTGTTTGTATTTTTTGTTAACAAACATAATAATAAAAATATTCATTGTGATAAACGAAATAATAATTTGATCTAAGTAAGAGTTTTTTCTTATTGATTTGTAAAAAAATCCTTATGTGATAAAAAAAAATTAATATTATTTTTGAAATCTGCATAACGGAATTATGGAAAATCCATTATTAAAACCAAAACAGCTTTTATGAAGTTTAAATTTGCAGGCCTGTGAATATAATAAATATAATAAAAAAAGTACTTTAAAACATGCATATTTTTGTCAGTTCCAAATATTATGCTTTGCTTAATGTATATTTAAATGTAATTTCAGTATCAAAGTGACTTTTACATTGCCATAGATGTAATCTAAAATTGTTGAAAGGGTAGCCCAAAAGTTACTTTTACTGTATGATGCTTTTGGGGTTGATATAAGCAGTTATTATGAGCTTCTCAAAATATGATACATAGAGTTGAGTACAATACATTAAAACAATTCATGTCTTGCCATATCTCCAGTCCAGGGGTGAAATTCTCAAAACAAAAGTAGAGGTACTCAAGCTTGGTGAAACAAAAACCTATGTGTAAACATAAAATAAGACAAAGCAACTCAAATAAGTCCCAGTACTAGTACTACCTTAAAAAACAAGTTCCAGTATTCAGTACCAGCAGAACTTCACCCCTGCTCCAGTCATGCTGCATCTGATAGCTGTGTATATTGATAATATCCGTGCAGCATAGCTTCCATTGCAAAAGTTGCTTTTCTAAAGAAGATATGTCCAAAACACCTTACTTTTCCCTCCTTGCTTTCAGTAATTCATCTAGTGTATGAAAATGAAAGTTTCCCAGTGCCTATTTCAACAGTCCAATTGCACAGAAATCTAAAAATGTTGCATTCAACAACTTAACTATTATGTCTTTGTAAGCAATAGTATGAATGTCAATTTCATTTTCTAAAGCCTTCAGGTATGCAACAGTTCAACAGGAGGTATGACTGAAAACCTTATCTTAATGAATTCACACCTTGTTAGTCTCATTATACAGTAACTCTCCCATTTACATTGGGTATGGGTTCCTAGAACACTCAAACCTAATCTAACCCAACATAAAGACATAGAAAATAAATAAATCAATACAGAACACTAACGTTTTAAGGTTTTTGGAAAGTTTGGCACAAAAATAACCACAGGGAGTATCACTCGATACTGGCTGATAGGACAAAAAATGTGTGACCGAGGCCATGGGAAGTGCACCAACAGTTGAAGATGAGGAAGAGAACATTGATCATTTCTATGAAGACCTTGATAAAGCACAATAAGCAATGCAAACCTCAAGAAGTGTTCATAGTGATGGGAGATCTAAATGCAAATATTTGGTTGTGATTAAATGGATAATATTGTTGGACCATATCGACTTGGAGAGAAAAATGAAAGAGGAGAGAAATGGATTGATTGGTCTGTTGCAAATGATCAAGTCCTTATGAACACATTGTTTGAATGGAAAAGCTTTGGAGATAATGTTAGAAACCAAAGTGATTACATCACCATCAATAGAACATTCAGGAATGCTCTACAACAATTGAAAACTTACCAAGGAAGGGGCTGACTGTGGGAGTGACCATGTCCCTATAGTATGTACCATCAAGATAAGATTGAGGAAACTTAAGAAACCAAAAGCACCAAAGAAGTTCAAGTGTACAATTCTAATGAAAAAAGATCTGATTAACTCTACATTTATAGGTTAGGTCCATTGGGTATTGTTTGTATGGACAATGATATACAGTTCAACAGTACTTGCAATAACTCTGAGCTTTCTTAACATATCTTCACAACAATTGGTTAGATTTTGCTAGGGATTACAAGTATTATGTACATAAAAAATGAGAATTAAGTATTTAATTAAGTATTTCTACTGAAAATTCGTTATTTATTTATTATAGCTATTTGCACTCAGTTTGAGTGCAGGGTGATTTTCATGTTAAGTATAAAATACTTAAAATATAAAATAATCTTATAAAAATCTTCTTCTGATTATATTCATAATTGCACATCTTTGCATTTTCACATTTTCCTTTAGTGTTCATTATTATTCTTGACACATGTCAACAGGCTTTTGTGGGTAATATTACTATATAATCCATGATGTCAGAAAAACACATAGGTTCAAGAAGTCTTGATATAAATGGATAAAAACCCTATAACCCGAGTGCTTTCGAAAGCGCTCAGGTTATAGGGTTTTTATTCATTCCTATATCATCGGTAGAGATACTTTAGCCTTCAGCAAAATGTTCTTGCACTCACATGCTGTTAATCCTCATTCAATCTCACAAATGGAGGGGATAGGCAAACTAATTTCCATAGATTTTATATATGCATTTTGAAATACTAAAAAGTTATAGATTACTACATTGATCTAAAAAAAAAAAGCACTTTCATTTATCTGGCTTTCTAACTAAGCTACATGAAGTTCTACAACATTTTGTTTCTGTTCAGACTATTAGCTTGATCATAACTCTCCAACAGTATAACAAAAGAACTTGATCAATGTGCAATCAAGACAAGGAAAAATGATTTATGAAAAATGTATATAAATAGAAAAATAAATGGAAAAAGATGTTACATCAATGTATAGGAACATCAAAGACATCACAAGTAAAGGAAGATGCACTGCTAGTGGATGTATAAAATAATGGTGATATAATTATGGGACGAGAACAAGTACTGAAAAAAAATTGACACAGTATACTGAGGGTTTATTCCATGACAGTAATGAAGAAAAGCCACCTAATAAGAAGAACATGAACAAATTGAAAATTCTCAAGTTAGAAGTAGGAACAGTTATCAACAGAATGAAAATCAATAAAGCTACAGGACCAGATGAAATTGCAGTAGCACAAATAAAATGTTTGGAAGACATTGGTATATAAAAAAAAAGTTAAATATTATCAGTGAGGTTTATGAAAATGGTGATGTACCTGAGGATATCAGAAAATTTAACTTTATTGTGCTTCCTAAAAAACCTGGAGTCATTGAATGTGAACACTTTCTGGTAGCAGTGAAAGAAATATCATATAACTTGTAACAAGGACTGAAAATGAATTTTTTATATATCTCTTAATAAAATATAACAGAAGAGATGAAAAAGTACTGGCTATAGATAATTCAATAACATGTTTGAATTGATCCTTTTACCAGTTTCTGGTCAAAATGTACAGATATAAAATGTGTGAACTAAACACAAAAATTGACAGATAATGTAAATACTGCAAATTTTTGAATTCAAAATTGTATTCTATAATCTTGCAATTATGTAAATTTGGTCAATAGAATTATGAATACAACAGTGGGTTTATTTTTTTCTTTGTTTCATTTGTTTTGTTGAATTTTGCACAAAACTCTTCAAGGGCTATCTTTGCTAGCCATTCCCAATTTTGAAGCAATAGAGAAAAGGCAACTACTCAGCATCACACACCATCTACTCTTGGGCTACTCTTTAATCAGATAGTGTGACTGACCATCACATTATAATGCCCCTCCACAGCTGAAAGGGTAAGCATGTTCCCATGGCTTGCAGATTGCTAATCAAGCAACCCAAGTACTGGTCCAAGCCAGAAAATTTAATTCTACATTAAAAGTATGCAAAAACAATAAACTGAGGCTTACCTTTACAAGATTTATCCCTAACTGATTATAAACTCTTGCCAGAAGAATGTGGCTGTTATCATCTTCTGGTGTTAATAAGTTTAGAAGCTCTAATCCATTGCGCATACAGGTTTGGCCTTCCATAACATTTTCTATTTGTCTTCCTAAATCCACAAGATCCCATGATATTTTTTCAATTATCTGAAAATTGATTTCAAGTAAAAAAAAAACATATAATTTGACTAAATAATAAAAAAATGTTTCCTCGTACCCAAGGACTTTAAACATATAAAAACATCTCTATAAGTGGAATCTCGAGCATATTAATTTCAAAGTAGATAATAAAAGTAGAAAAATAAAAAAACTTTGGAAATAGGGAAAGTAATTTTAATAATGTCAACTAAGATGCATCAATAGTGAATAATAAACACATATACACAGAATATAAAGTTGCTTAGAGATTTTTTCTTTTCTTTTTAATCACAAATTTTATTCATTGTCCAATAAATATATCATTGAAACTCAAAAAATGTCAACAGAATATTTCTTCATGATGGCTTGTCCAGAAAACAATTGCTTAATAATGTTACGACAGCAGAAATCACGTGAAGCTGGTAACACATGATGAGATTCTAGAAGGATCGGGGAACCTCATGAACGTCCCAGCATTTGCTAGATGCCCTCTATTTTGGTGCATAAGATGGCAGATAAATTGATACGGACATAATCGAGTCAAGCCGTAAGAAAAGTGTGTAAATCATTGTGAATTATAGTGTGTGTTTGAGTTACAGTGACTGTGGAAATTCTGTGTATTGCAAAGTTGTATTGAAGAAGAATAAACTAGTTTTATTTAAGAAAGGACTTGTATCACTGAAGTTCCTCGGGAAGAATTTTTACGGGAAATTAACAAGCGACCAGAAACGTAACAATAACATATCAAAAGCACCTGGAGATATAGCTGTAGAAAAGTAGATATTTCTAAAATTGGAATCTTGAGAACTGAAAATTTCAAAACAATTATTTTTTTATAGAATTTTGTGATAAAAACAAGGTTTTAGGTGTGCTGAGTTTGATACCAAGATAGATTTACTCAAAACTGTGACTAACTCATACCTTTCTTCTGGAAACAGTGAAAATTTGCTTTCTAATTTGAAAATAGTTATAATTCAGTAAAAGTAAATTGAATTTTAATGTTTTAAACTAATTAATAATAATGATCCTAGGTTCTATAAAAGCAACAACGTTATAAATATTTTGATAAAAAAGGTTAGAGAAAAATGACCTTTTAACTCCAGATAATTATAAAATAACTTTTTATTTTAACCAACATTTTGCCTTTGCAATTTCATCAGGTTTAGTACCTACAATTGATTTGTAGGTTATTTGTAGAAGCTGCATGTTCTCAATATTTTGAGAAGTATTGTAGAAATTATAAATAAAGACACAGACAGTTATAAGTTCAGTTCATTGGGTATAAATTAAGCATATTATATTTCTGTTCTGAATAGTAAGTAGCAAGTTGTAAAGAAACTAAATGTACGAGGTGAGCATTAAACGTCAGTGTATATCCACTGCATATAGTGAAATAAAAATGTTTATATTTTTTATCTCATAGAGAGATATACGAGTTGCTCCCAGTTTGGAGGCCTCATACAGTAAATTTACTTCAGAATCAAATAGCATACCACCAAGAAAAGTTCTTCTGCACTTTTTTAGGTTCACATATTTCTGTTGTCAGATTTACTGCACTAATAGTTTATATCCAAAACGAGTGACACAAATATTAACCATGAACTTAAAAAAAAAGGTAAAAGCAACAGAAATTAACAAGTAGAGTAGGAAACTGAAGGAGTTTCAAAGAAACAATTTTTACATTTTTGTACACCAGTTTACAAATACACTCTAAAACTAAAATTACTGATTGAAGGATAAAGAACCAGTCCTTAGCTTACCAATACATGCAATATGATGAACTATGGTTGCAAGGTATGTTAAAAAACTAGAAGTTATAGTCTGGTACACAGAAACTATATGCACAGAAAAAAGCTAAGTATTTTATTGGAAAGTGAAAAAAAGTGAAAGCAAGAAGAGATGCAAACAGCTGTACTATACAGTGTTTTGGTACTGGTTTGAAATATTTCAAACTCAGAAGCACTTTTATTCTTTTAATGGTAACCATGTTTGAATAATGAGAGAAACAGATATACTGTAATAATACAAGTTAAAAACTTGGTAAAGCATAATAGAAGAGTTGGAAGTGGGTGATACTAACAAGCTGCCACTAGACTATAGCCTCAAATTAGGGATGGCTAACACAGATAGCCTTCAAGTAGCTTTGTGCACATTTCAATAAACAAACAAAAATTCTGCTAATAAAGTCTCAGTAATTATTTTTCCACATTCAGAAAAGAAAATAAAAACAATACATATTTTTAAAATCTCCAAAATATCAAGGTATTCTAATCTAAAGATGTTTACAGAAAATATAAATAAAAGTAATAAAAATTCAATTGAATGTATGGCACATTCTCTAAACACCAACTAACACAAACAAGCATGGGCTGTTTCTTGAGAGGAAGTTGTGAGCTGGAACATTAAACTTTGACTATCACTCTGATCTACCTCTCTCTCTACTAGATACAAAGACTTGAGGACTGGAGCTAGAATGAACTTATTAAAGAATTGAACCAAACTGATTGACAACAAAGGCAGATATTTAAAGGTAACAGAAAACAAAGAAAAGTCACATTCCTCATTTTCACCAACCATATCTGAGTTAATAAAATAAACAACCCTACAGTCAACTTCTAAGTTGTTGTGATCATACAATTCAAAGAGAACACAGAAGTACTATAGTACAAAATCTTGTCATCAAATGAATAAAGAGATGTACTATTTGTAGAAAGAAAAGCATGCTGTTTTATGATTTATTACACCATTCTTATTTTTGATGACCCAGTATGAATTATTTACTTTATTTGATGCTAAAAATCTAAAATTTTATTACGTTAAATAGCAATCTGCTTGTTCCTGCATTTAATTGCACTGGTAATCAATCTAAATCTTGGAGGGTATGAGGAAACCTTGGGATGACATAGATAATGAAAATCTCTTAGTAATGGTTTTTACATTGATGTAGCAGTTCTTCAATGTGTCACTACTTTTCAACTATGCTTGACATGGATGAGGGTGCTAGCTAGCCTCATGATGAGTACAAGAAAATTCTTCACATTTATATGTATGCCAAAACAGAATCTTGTAAACATGACATCATCTATGAAAAACAGGACTATTTTTTAACTGTTAACCAAAAAGCTAAAAATTTAATGTATGAAGTGAGATGCATTCACACTACCTTAACTGTTTATTGAAAAAATAAAATTGTCCATGTATACAAAATGTTTTTATTACAATGAGTAGGAGTTTTAAACATATTTTTCCACAGGTATGTGACAGGTTAAAAAAAAAAGTCTTAAATTAAATAAAGTTGTTTTTATTTATCATCATAAGTTACTAATTTCCAAGTGTGTAATAAATAATTTAAATAAATAAAGTTGTTTTTATTTATCATCATAAGTTACTAATTTCCAAGTGTGTAATAAATAATTTAAATAAATAAAGTTGTTTTTATTTATCATCATAAGTTACTTATTTCCAAGGGTGTAATACATAATTTAAATAAATAAATTTGTTTTTATTTATCATCATAAGTTACTAATTTCCAAGTGTGTAATAAATAATTTAAATAAATAAAGTTGTTTTTATTTATCATCATAAGTTACTAATTTCCAAGTGTGTAATAAATAATTTAAATAAATAAAGTTGTTTTTATTTATCATCATAAGTTACTAATTTCCAAGTGTGTAAATTAGTGGAATTCTTCATTATATTTTTGAGACATGATGCATCAAGATTTTATAATGTTTACAAAGTTTATATGCATAGTATCCAAAGCATTTAAAGTAAAGAGAAAACTGCACCTTTACAAGTGATTTAAAATAATTGTTTCAAGACCTATTGATCTAATTAAACCCTAAAGGATAGTCCTTTGGTCAGAAACAATATTAGGTGAAATGTATTTATGATAAAAAAAATCATGTTTGACTGCAGATGCTTTTTCATACTTCTCTTAATTAAGAAAATGAGAGTAAAAATACTATTTCTTATCTATAATTACCAAATATTATTTCTGAAGGAGTCCTTTCATTGATACCAGAACTCCTCAGAGGGCTGCAACAGTCAAGAGCCCATCAAAATCATTTATTGTTACAGTGTTGAATAATGAAAATAAGTCAAAAAATCAGAAAATGACATTAATTTAAATTTGTACACTATGTGTATACACACAAACACCCCCCCTCCACACACACAATTATAAATAAATTTAAGATTACTTTTTCTGCTATGATATAGTTCAACTGACTAATTCTGGTATTGAAGTGAAGGTTTACCGAGTAATAATCTATAATAAATAAAATACAGACATAATAGGCAAATACAAGAACTGTAGAAGAAGCATCTGCAGACAAGCATGCTTTTCAATAAGATCATTTGGTTCACTAGTATTTAGCATTTAATAATGAAACAAAATATGCTGTTCCAAGTTAAATATTCTACATTATGTTACACAGCACATTCTATAAGTCAAAATTCCAATACTAATATAAATTGTAAAATACAATGATATTTTTCAAAGAATTTCTTTCAGTTTTGGTCCCTACATTGTTTTTTTTTGTAATTTTCATTAAATGTGATTTTTTCTGTAACATAATAAGCTACTGTTACTTTGTAGGCACTATGCAATGTAAGATTGAAAACCTTATTTCATTTAAAATAAAATACATAATTTTTAAAATATATCATGCTATAAATCAATAAAATTCTACAAACTGACAGTCTTCAAGGATTCTATATGAACACATTTAGTAATAAAAAAACATTGTAATGCATTTGTTTGAAAAAATAAAAATAACACCACGATTTAACTAAGTTTTTTTACAAAGTATCAAAATTGGTTAATTGTAACTGAACAGTATACAAAAATGTGTTTAGGAACTGTAAAGTATAAAATAGAATAATATGAAATCTTTCTATTCACTAAAAAATTTGCATTTCAATGTCTAAGAATCTATATTTCAATTCAATCTACCTTAAGTGGAGTCTCTGGATGAGCTACTGTATCCCTTTTGACAGTTTGATGTCCTGAATAAGGACAGTTTCCTCTGCTAACAAATTTTCCTTCTGAACTGATGTCAATATACGAATATTGTTGTTCTACAGAAAGTCTGCCGTTAAGAAAGAGAGGGAAATTAAACATATAATGTTACTAAAAATCTATAAAATTAGTGTCATTATTATCACACCTTATCAGTAATAAAAATAGATGCAACAAAGTAAAAGCTTATTCATATAAGAAGATTGAAATTAGAATTTTAAAACTACTAAACAGACATGATAATTTAGTGGAATAGGTGATATATAATGTCAAGTATATGACTGGTTTGTTAAACCCAACTCGACCAACTGGAATGAACTCTTATCCTACATCATGATGGTGTGGAATGGAAGCTTCTTGCCTTTGGTGAACCATGCCTCATCTTGCACTCTGATGATTTACAACAATTTAGAGGTGTATGAAAATGTGTAGTACATGTGTATACTCATATATACTCTGGTAACAGCACAAATATTAACCCTCACTCAGAAGAACTTAAGCTAAAAAGTATTTAAGTGATTATTTATTTAATGATGGCTGAAAAGAAAAATGTTGAATTTGACAGCTTGCATGTTACAGAATTTTACTGGATCACAGCTGCTTAGAAGTAGCTTCAGAAAGTAACTAAGGATAGTTGTAAAGAAGTTTGAGTGAGATCCAGAGGCAGTCTGTTGTAGGCTATTAGTGTACATAAAAATGTGTAATGAAGATATGTGTATTACATATATAATAATGTCAATTTGGTAAAAATGCTTCTTACACAATGTTTTTTATTTCCACCAATAATGATGATAAGTGAATGTAAATCTTCCAGAATAGCAAAGAAAACAATCCCACAAAGTGATTAGAATAATAGATTAAGACAACCAAAAAATTATCTTTTTGACAAAAACTACTAAGTAGTACACACTTTAAGAAAAATAATCATATCTGAAATGTCTTAATATATACGAGTTTATACATTAAAACCATTAGTATTCAGTCAGAAATAGATGAAAAAATCTAAACACTGGAGCTGTCAGAGCAAACATATTAACAAATGGTTCACACATTCACTTATACTAAATGGCTTGTGTCCATTACTTGTGGCTATTCACACATACACCAACAGAGGAGAGAAGCAAAAAGAACCCAGAATCAAAACTTCAAGTTCTGGAATAGTATTGAAAACTGTTGCTTTTAAGATTGAGAAAGAATTATGCAAGAAAATAAAAATTTCAAATATTTCTAGGGAATATGCAGAAAATAATATATGAATAGTTGTATGTTCAATGAATTTCCAAAAGCACTTGCTAGAGATGTATGTGCTAAACATATCATTTAACACATAAGTACAGTGTGATAAACAAGCCAAGTTGACAAAAGCACTTGCTAGAGATGTATGTGCTAAACATATCATTTAACACATAAGTACAGTGTGATAAACAAGCCAAGTTGACAAAAGAGTCTGCACAAAGCATACAAATAATCAGCTCATGTTATTCCCCATGCAAACCTTGTCATCCCTATGTAATCATTACTACAATCTCATTAACTCTCTCAACACAGGCCCGGCCAATTTGACTGAACACGTGACCTCTTTGTACTCGTTTAAAGTCTTTATAGACTTAATACTTCTAAATTTTAATATAGTGTATATCTTCACAAAATTTGGTAGTCTTTCAGTTCATATTATAAGTCTTTCAAATACAAAAAATAATATTTTTTAATAAAATAAAATAAAGATTTGTCCTTGAATATATTGAGTATTTGTTTTTAATAGACTATGTGCAAAGTGATTTTCATGTTAAAATTAAAAATACTTTTCCTCATCTCAAAAATCTCAAATTTCCTTTGTGTAATCCCCAAAACCTCCTAAATGCATTTCAAATGATCCTTTAAGTAAAACTTTATAGTGTATCTGTTACTTTCTCTACCCTATTTTAAAATGGGATCGGTCAATTCGACCAGCTTCGTAACCACCAAAAAATATTGCACTGCAATACCCCTTACTGTATTGTCATCTATGAACTGACAAACCTAACTCTCTTGGTATCACAAAGTATAGATTATGAAGGTAGGATTCTGCCAAATTTAACCTTTTCATATAGAATTATTCAATATTCTAGCCATGAATTATAAATCAATAAACTCACAGACTAATGCTGACTAAGCACAATAATCAACATACATTATGCCCTAGACCTGTACTAATATGGGGGTGGCTGTCACTACTATACCACCATCTATGGGTCAATAAACTTACCAAAGTCACTTTCACAGAAAAACAAAAGCAGACAAAATTTTGGGAAACAAGGACTTTTCCAATACAATTTACTGCAGACTAAGTTCTTTTTGGCACAGTTTAAGAGCACAAAACCTTGAAGCCATGTACATATCTTTCATGCCCAAGGGTATATAGTCTTGTGTGTAAAGACCACATAAAATCTCCCTTTCATACACATAAGCATTTTCAGACGGTTTCTTACGTAAACATCTACTATTGTTCACTAATAAATATACAATTCAACGTAAGTATTCAGTAAGCAAGTTCTTGCATATCCATTAGAATTCAGAAAGATAATTTCCATAACTATCATACAGATAGTTAACATTGTTCAACAGCTCGAAAAATAAGTCATAATGCCCTTTCAATTGGAAATCTTCAAATCATCCAACCGTCCTAGCTGTACTATAGCCAAAGTTATCACAATGCCCTGCAGACATTTTATCATAAAGTACAATTGAGTATCTAAAAAAAAAATCCTTTTGGTCACTGATTTATTAATAAAACAACCATCAAAACTGCCATTTAAGCAGTTAATCCAAGTAATAATGATTGGTCAATGTTTATATCTCAGCAAGCCACTGAGCAGTCAAGATACTCTCTACTGATGTTCCCTCACCTGACTCCTCACAGATGGTCGGACATATAGTGCTAGCACTTTCTTCCTCATCAGCTGAGCTTAGAACATACAACACAGTACTCTTACTGTTCTGTGACCAATCAACCTCCTCCAATTCTGATTTATGGTCTAACTAGTTCAAACAGGTTTATTAGTGAAATACAACTTCAACTTATCCATGTATTCAACATACTTTTATGCACCACATGATTTCTTAAATTATATTTGACAGATTAAGCTACTTGAGAATGAGAAAAGGATTAGCCTAGCCACAATTAAGTTGCTTTTGCTTTCATGATGAAGATATACACTAAAATCACACCTAGTTTCTACACTAAAACTTTCATTCCCGCTTTGTCTAATCATAGTATCTTTTCTGACATATAGGCCTTATCCAACTGTTGATGCACAAATTAATGTGGAAAGATTAATAGAGACTTCATCCACACAGTATATTTTCATCGTGACACTAAGGCACATGTGCAAACCATACATCACATCTGTTGGGAGCTGTATTTATGTGCAAACATTGAAAGAATTTGGTAAGAAACCAGCTAAATGTTGCTTTGTGTGTCATCACAATATAAGGCATGGGATCTTCCCAACTAGTTCAGTATTCGGGGTTCACAAACTACAAACTTTTATAAAACACCCAATATCTTGCACATTCAATTAATATCTAGCTATTGAAATTGTCTCCTATATTAGTGTGGATTTCTCTTGGTGTTCTGAATCAAGCAATTACATGCTCAACAACACATCAGCAACAGATTGTAGTAACATATCAGCCAGTGAGTAAGTTATGGTATACATGGTGAAGTAACTGTTAAAAAGCAAACATACCAATTACCTTTATCAGTCTCAAGAAAAGGGCATTAGCTGCATTACACATGGAGAACCATTATTCTAAATTTGCAACTGCTCATAAAAGGTCACATATTACATGTATCCATACTGTATTCCTAAATCAATATAATAGCCACATGCTTCACCACATTGGACAGAAAGTAATAATATCTTTCAGTTGTTTATGCTTAAGCTCCTTGTATGTCATTTATGACGTTTATCCACTGTTGAAATAATTAGCCTATATAATGTCTGTCACTACTACTTCTACAATGGCTTTCACTGTCACACAGTGCCTAGGATCTAGATAATTAACAAACTACAATCTGACCATCTCACAAAACTATCTATCCACATTACCATACTACAACCTTGACTTACAATGTACAACAAGATGATACTTTTAAAATGTTTTAATCCAACATTCAATCATCTCTTCTGTGTTATTGAAGTTTGTAAGCAATTGCAATGATACATAATTCACTCAAGTTTGGTGATGCAGTGTTTAACAAATATCACAAGCAGTTCTTTCTTTGCAATATGTATGTCAGGAGTCAAAAACATGCAACTTACACACACAATTACACAACTGATTCCACCCTGCACATGACAATACTGTTCCAAATTGTCTTGAATGGGCTAACACCATGGCCTAAAATAAAGTATGTTTAGATGACTGAAATACTATGTGATAGCATTCAGTCAACTAAAATGTATCAGTTTTAATTAGTGTTGATACTAATACGCTTATCTATAAAACGTTGGAAAGATGTGTAACCTAGGAAGTTACAAAGTTCTTGTTTCATCAGTGGTTAAGGCCATCCTTGGAGCACTGCAATCTTCATAGGATCTCCAAGTATTCCATCACTACCCAGAATGTGACCAAGGTTTAACCTCTCCCATCAGCATTTTCAGTATAAGTTCAAAAGAGGCAAGTGTATTCCTCAGCCTGAATGGCATGCCACAATATTTATACAAGCTATTTCAAGAGCTCAAAGCAGGATCAGATCTGCTCTTACTATTTAACCCTATGACCTCTGGTGTTACTTTTAAATTCCTTTCTGCATATGGTACTGCATTACATTCAAAATTTAATAAAACCACTTTACTATCAATATATGTCAATGAAATTAACATTATAATGTCCATTATAATTTGAACTTTTATATTATCCAATTTTAATTCATTCTTTTTTAAAAAAAACAACTTGAACTGCAGTTTTCATGTCACGTAATCCACGAGCTAAAAGAAATGCCATTTTCTTTAAGCAACATGTGGGGAGTCTGTGGAAATAATTTCATAAGTCCCCACGGACATCAGTTGACATAAATGATAAAAG